AATGGTTTAGAGTAAATTATATTCATGCATTAGAGTGGTCCAGGCAAAAAACAGATTTGAGTTTAATTGAAAATTAGAAGCATCACTCTGCGTCCGATCTGAGTCTGAGCAGAAATTCATGTGAAAAGCTGGTGGACTCAAGATGTGTTGCTTTAGTTGCAATTCAAGGGGTATGAATACGTTTGCAAGCCCCTTCACAGAAAGTTTTTGCTCATGCCAAGACTCTAATTACATTTTTAAAGGGAAAAGTAATACTCGGTTAAAAAAAACATTTATCATTTAAGCTTAAATCTATCAAATACTTAAAAAAAAAACATATTTTATCTGAAAACAATACTGGGAAGGAGAAGTTGTCGTAGTTTTGAGTTATTATGAATCGTGCAGCTCAGAAAAGAAACCCTCGGAACCTTTTGCTAAATACCTTAAAGCACGTTTTTAAATCTATTATCCTGGGCCAACTTCAAGAGGAGTTCTTTTTTTTTTTTTCTTCCAAAAATTAATATTCAGAAGTGGTGCCGAACTAAGGGAGAGCTGATGTGAAAAGAAATTAGGGAAGAGAGGGTCATGGCATCACACAAAAGAGTGAATTAAAAGCAAATTTTGCATAAATTCACATTAATCCCCTGATAAAATATGACTGGGAATGTAGGGCAGGATTCCTCTGATGAGGTGAAGAACTAAAACGTTCCTGTCACATCTTTAACGAACAATAACTACAACCCGCTTTCATGCGGCTCTACTCTTATCAGTCTGGTAATAAAGGAGTAATTAGTGCTGGACGGATATTGATTCACCAACATGGCCTGTTGATTTACGGCAGGTCTCGATCAATGGGAAAGGCAAACTTGTTGAGGACGTTGATTTGCATCGACAGCGATGAGGATCCTTTGTCTGAACTCTGAGGTCCAATTGTTGGCAACACAAAATGGATAAAAGGCTTAAGAAATGTCTGTGTCGTTGTCATCTTGGCTTTTTAGTGGGCAGTTTTGCTTTTAGGTTGTGAATAAAAAGCTCAACAGTGAAATTATTGACTAAAGAAAAACAGAAAATGTTAATCCATTTAAATTTCCTTTGAGACGACACTAATCAAAAGTTTTGCCCTTTTTAAAAATAAATACTTGTCAGAAAGTGTCATTAAATGTCATTAAATGTGATGTTTTCCTGCCCCCTTGAGAGGAATGCTAACAATGGTGCAAACCTTTTTAAAAAAAGATGCCCAATGTTTTGTTTGAGGACATATTTAATAACACCATCTCACTGAAATGTTCTTTTTTTTTTTTTCCTTTGTTACTATTTAGCAGATGCAATCATGCTGACAGGCTGGAAGCTGTGCTTCTACCACACAAGCTCAAAGCATTTTGTAGCAGAAGAAAAAGTGATGAATAGTGCCCACATTCATTTCTTACCAGAAATGACACATGTAAGATTGTCTGAACCACTTGACGCTGTTTTAAGGAGTAATAGTTTGAATGCTTTGTATTGTCCAAATAAATGTGAATGAGTCTGTAATGGAAAACAGAAGTAAGACAAATGTGTTCCTTGTTTTTTTTTTCTTTTTTTCTATCTTCAAACAAGCTAAATAATATAAAGATTCAGTTTGAATTTTACATGCATACATCACAGACATGAATACCTTAATAAATTTGCACCCAGGTTTATTTAGACTGACTGACAGCAGAGCATCCAATGTTTTTTGTTTTGTTTTGTTTTTTTAAAAAAAACAAGAACGAGATTGACATTTTGAAGTCGATCTGGATTTTCTCTATTCTACCAGGTAATACAACGTATGCACACAGGCTTGAAATCACCCGCAGAAAATTTTGGTAAATGTTTCAAACAAGCTACAGAGAAACAAAATGCTCGAAGCCACAGACAAGTTTAGCCAGGAGAAGTAAAACCAGAAGAGTCGCAGTGAAGCAACTGATGAAAATTCAATTGAAGCTTTTTAATTAGATGTGAAAAGTATCTTCATTGATCAACTAAGGTAGTTGCCAGTTACAAATGAAGTATTTTTTTGCTTTCCCTTCACACTCTTTGAGTTTTAGTATAGGCTTTATTATTTTTGATACTTGCACGTTACACAAGAACCCCGAAGCGAATGAATGTTTTTAGCTGAAATCAGAATTGCCTCGCACTCTTGTGGACAATGATTCATGATCTTTATTTTCCATAAGCGACTAACTGTGATTTTTAGCTAATCTAAGTTAGATTTAAAACCTTCAGCTTAATTCAAAATCCAAATAGTTTTCATTTATTTACTTGGTGTTTCTGTTATTATTAGAGGCACTCATGACTCTCTAATCCCACAGGATGCAGCTGTGGTTTGAATCCCAAGCAGGGTTACTGTATGTCGTTGTGCTGCCGCGGTAATTACGCTAATTTACTTTGGGGAGAAACATTTACATTTCTTGAATCTGCGTCTGTAGATTGTGGCTTCCTCTTTTGCCCTGTTGTTATACCTGCTGTGCATTTTTCCCATCACAGTAATTGCTCCTTATAGAATCTCAGGTCTGGGCCCAGACAGGAACATATATATACTGTTGCCGTTAATTCTTAGTTTCCGTCCTGTGCATATTAACAGCTTAACATGTACAACATCACCTCTGGTGCGGCGCGGCGGTTTAAGGGTTTTTCACAGGGTTTAATCTACCATTCCTCAGCTTAATGCCGATGTGTCTAGAGTAACACTTTACATTACAAAGCCACAGGCCACATTAATTACCCACCAGGCCAAGTCTCACTGCAGGATCTTCTACACAAACAACTTCCCGAGTACCCATTAAAAAATAATTCATCAAACCATAAAAAAAAAAAAATGTTTATTTAAAAAAAAAAAAAACAGGGACTTTTTTCTGGAATACTTTCATTCCTTCTCTCTTTTTCTGCATAGAGTTAGTGAGTAAGTGGTTTCCAATTCCTATTAATGATATCCATTAATTTTCTGTGAAAAAGGATTTATTTTCCTGTCCTTGTGGAGACACTTTGCCTCTGCCACTATTGCTGCTGTAATTTAACAACTATTACTACTGTTTGTCTAAGCCCCCAAATGCTCAAGTTTGCTTTAGGCAACTCTCTGTCTTTCTCCCTCTCTTTATCTCTCTTTCTCTCTTTGTAATTCATTCCTCTTTTCCTCATCTGCTTTTCTCCAATCTGCTTCCCTTGGCACAATTTCATTGTATTCACCGCTGTTGGTCCCAGGAGCTTGTGGAGCCAAAAAAAAAAAAAAAAAAACTTTTCTTCTGGCATTTTTCTAATTGATCCATGGCAGCCTGCGCTGTGGTCTCGCTGTAGTCTTGTCTTCAATAATTCATAAGCGTTTTCACAGAGAGGGACTTCATTAAATGTACTTGTATAAAGATTATATGGAATATTTTCATTTGCACATGTGACATCCTTTATCCATAAACACACTGATAAATGTTCAAGACATGAAAGGCAGACATTTATTATTCCAGTGCAATGATTTAAAAGAAAAAAGCCTTGCATATTTACTATAGATAACATAAGCCTATAATAAAAAAACTAAATGATAAAGATAAAACAGTAGGCTAAAACATCAGTGACTATATAACAAATGTTCTAATAATGGGCATTTCTCAGATGTTGCCTGTGCGTAACAAATAATTCAAACTGCCAGCTCACAGTGATTTGCAGTGATTTGTAAATGATCGTAATGCAACAGTATTGCTGTAAGCAGACATTTGTTGTTTCTATACTGTTTATATTCTTATGACAGAATCAGTTTTCCTCAGCATCTTCATTTCCAATAATCTAGCCAGGTAATACTTTTGCATATCCATGATGATTTGTGTTGTCTGCAAATGTTTTGATACTTTTTTAAGACATGAACCTTCATCCCTTGTTTCTATTATTATTATTTGAAGTTCTTTCATTCTGACTCAGTTCACCTACAAAAATATGCTTCTGTAAAATGAAATTAGCTCCTTTACCCTTGTGTCGTTTTCTTAGAAATGGTTTTGCAATGTCATTCGCACATTTGTCTTATATTTTGAATTCTTCTTTTTGGAAAAAAAACAAAACATGATGCATCAACAAAGGTTTTTGATGTGTGCTTCATCGGTGGGACTATGAAGTCATTACCTCTAATTTGGCCTGGTTCACCCCCATTAATCAGCTTCTTTCTTAAGATTTAGTTAAATAAAATGTTTTTTTTATTCATTTGTCATTAGAAATCAACACCCTTTGCTCTGCCAGTGCTGCTATTTTGAGAAAATCCCCTCAGCTGCTCAAATAAGCTGAGTATTCTGTGCCTCATGATAATACTTATAGCTGTTTGTGAGGCCACAATGAGGAAAAGATGTCGTCCGATGAGTCATTACTTGCACAGCTCTTCATTTAACAGGTCATTCTATATTAATATTTTTGCAATTAGTGTGCAGATAACACATAAGTCATCCGGACTTATGTGTAAGAGCCAATAAGTGTATGTTTACTTTTGTTCCAAAGTTGTTGTTGTTCAGATATTTTATTAGGTGCCAAAAGTAATTTGTCAGGTTTTTCAATTTAAATGTAATTCAGTTACAGAGCGATGATGCAGTTTTCCGTAACCAAATTTTTGTAGATGAAGTTGCACGAGGTTGCCCTCACCTCTGTTGTTTACTGTAAACACTGCAGATTTTATGAAATGAAAACATTTGATTATTACTCACCATTACTGCCAGACTTGGCTTTCTCCCTGTAAAGCTAATGTTGCAAAACATGTTACGGTTGAGAGCCATTCTCAATCAGGAAGACAGTTATTATAGCCATTAAAATCACTATCCACTTTATGTAATGAAGGCAATTAACCAGAGCTACCTTGGCTGGAAAACATATGCTCATTCCCACCCACAGAGGGAAGGGAGAAAGTAAGTCGTTTTATTTGGCCGTTCATTAACTCCCACAAGTTTAATACAGGAAATATTTACGCCATTAAGACGGTTCCACAAGTTGACTGACGACCCTCCTGTCTTTGTGTGTTGTTGCTTCTTCCTCTGCAGGAATACTGTTTCAGGAGAGTTTCATCGAGGAGCCGGACGGCCTGGTGTCCGTAAACCTGCTGGTGGTGTCTGCCGTTTCAGCCTTCTCCACAGGAGCCATCCTCTCTGGTCTCACTGTCTGCTGGATCATGAGCCACAGGAGCTCCCGCGGCTCTGGAGCCAACGGCGCCCGTCGCAAAAACGACAAAGAGCAGACCATGCTGGGGCAGGGTCGCAGCGGCTCGGTAATGAGCGTGACCAGAACGAGCGGAGGCGAGAGGCGGCGCTCGCAGCCAGATAACCTGTTTGTGATGCCCAACGGTTGGCCTAAAGGAGAGATTGACCCAGGTTTACTGCCCACTCCCGAGCAGACCCCGCTGCAGCAGAAACGAGTCATGCGCCTCCCAGACGCCGACTGGGACCAGAGCCAGACCTTCCTCACCTCCGTGGGAAACCCATGTCCCAGCAACGCTGTCATCTACCTGAGCTCCAAGTTTCTGCACGGAGGCGGCGGAGGCGGGGGTTTGGTACGGATAGAGGACCCCGGCGAGGTGGTCCTGCCCACACACTCTGATCGCCAGCGTTACCTCATCCTTGCCACCCAAAGAGGCGAGCACGGAGGCAGCCGTCCCACCGGCAGCCTGAGGAACTCAGCAGGAGAGTACATCTACCCTGCCACTCCCCAGGATTCGCCAGATCGACGTAGGGTGGTCTCTGCTCCCACCCCACATGTGGACTACGGAGAGCCTCGTTGGAGTCACGAGACGCTCAACTACAACAGCAACAACGGCATGCCCTATTACGCCCAGCGCCAGGGTCTCATCAGGCCAGACGTGCACGGACCTCGAGGTCTGGGAGAGCTGGCTGAATTCAGCCACCTGCTGGGGAAGAACATGGGAGAGCACGCCCCCAGTGGCCAATGAGGTGAAGTGAAGCGAGTGTTGATGCCAAGCTCTATGGGTTAAAAAAAAAAAAAAAAAAAAAAAAAAAAAACATTCCTGCCAACAGAAAACTGGAAAATATCCACCCCCCAGACTCGCCGTCCTGATCCGACCTTATCCTTTCTGTCCTCTCTCGCTGTCATTCAATGTCCTGACGCCATTCAGAGAGAGGCAGAGAGAAAAGAGTTGAAAGTTGAGAGAATTCTCAAACCATTCAGTTTCTCTGTTCATAACCTGTGGTGTGCCACCCGCAGCTCATAGCTCTGACACAACAAGTCTCACAGGAAGGTAAAGAGTGGGGCCAAGAAGAAATAGGAACCTTCTTGAAAAGACAGCTGAAGGATTTATACCTATAACAACAACAACGAAAAAAAAAACAATATTCCTTGTGAGGGCAAATGTGACATGGCCCCCTTGACCACTTCGTTCATTGCTAAGTCATGATCGGACCTTCTTTTTGGTGAATTATTTTTTTGTCTCTGTTGTCTTGTGCCAGTGGCATCCAGCAGACAACGATGTGCTTCACTTTGGATTTCAGATGAGACAAAACTGTCGTAGCTCTGCCAGAGGACCTTGAAGAAGACAGAAGTCATACATCATGTAAGGGTGTGTGTTTGGCCACAGCAACCCCAACCAGCGTCCTGTCTTAACTGTGAAGTATGGCTATATAATGAATTTGGTGATAATATTGTTTATACAGAAATGATTTTATTGTGTGTAATTTTAAGTGTGATTACCAATCAGAAGCTTAAGCGGCTGATCAGTGGCTAGTTAGGGCTGTACAGAGCCATGGTGAAGTAAGAGAAAGCAATAATTAGCTAAATGAATGACAATGACGAGAAAAGGACTATCTAATTTAAGTATTTTTTTATAAAATGAGTCTTTACAACGAAGACGAGGACAGTTTCTGGCTCCCTCCACATGCCTGGGTCTGTCTGACCCGACCCACATCGAGGCCTCCCTGGGACCCGCGGTGCATTTGAAGAAGGGGGAATGTGAGCTGTCTGGCGATCTGACCGAGGCGGAGAGGCTCCGCCGCTTGGGAGCTCCATTCAGTCTCTTCTGCCGACACTGAGCCTCTTTGTGCCCCGGGCGCAGGAAGAAACTGCGGCCACAAATAACAATTAAGAGTCAGGGACCTGACTCATCACAGCGTAGCAGAATAGCAATGAGGAGAGCTTCAGCTCCGTCCAGTCAGGTTCGGGCATCTCCTGCGGATCACCGGTCGCGGCAAATCACTCAGTCGGCAGAGCGGGGAGGACCTGGGGCCCGAAGCCGCAGCGTGGGTCAGTGTCGGGACACGGCTAACCATCACAATGGTCATCCCTGGTGGCTTCGTCCCTTTTTTATTTTTTTGTCCCTTTCAGTGTGACTCCCAACAAAAGCGGGATAAAGAAAACAGATGGTCGTGCGCGCACTTGGGTGTGGAGTTTCTCTTTCACTCCGTTGTCTGATCTTTTCATGTTTTATGTTTTTTTTTTGTCCGCTTTCATCCTTTCTTGATTCAAATGTGTAGATATGCTTAGCTTTAATCCATCTGGGTCAGGGTTCGTTAAAAGGTGGCATTTAGCTCTGTTTGCGTCTGTCAGCTTGTGTATGAGAGAGTCTCTTAGGGCTTGTTTACATCACTGTGTTGCTCATATTGAGTGCAAGAAACGGCTTTGATCAGTTTCGCTCTCGCCCAACCCTTCTTATCTTTTCAACCCCATCCGCCTTACATTTACAAATAGGTACTAACAGTGTCACTGCTTTGTGTGGGAGTCGTGTGTGCTGCTGCAAAAAGTATCAGATTGGGCCTAAAATCCTGCTGAAGTAGAAGAACAAGTTGGCTCTTTTCCTTTACATGATTGATATTGTTAATATAACAAGACCACATGTGTTTTATGATTTATAGCTTAGCTTAAAAGGGTCTGGCAAAAAAAAAAAAAAAAAAACTCAATAATGCACACTGCCTTGCAAAATTATTTACGCCCTCTGAACTTTTCCACAATTAGTTTCATTACAGTAGCAAAGCTTAATGTACTTAATTGGGATTTTATTTTATAGACCAATATGGAGTAGTGTGTTACTGTAAAGTGGAAGAAAAATGTTACATCATTTTCAAAAATGTTTTGCAAATAAAACTCCACAAAAGTAGGAAATGCATTTGGATTCAGTTCCCTGACTCTCGATACAAGTGTTAGAAGTGCCTGTTGTTGCAGTTATTCTTTGAGCTGTGTCTCTACAAACTTTAACTTATTGATCCTGTTCTTCTTTAGAAATCTTCTCAAATTCAGTCAGTTTGGATAGAGATCTTCTCACTCATTTGGATTTAGGAGCAGACTTTGACTGGACCAGTCGAACCCAAAACATTTCATTGTGTCTCTTGCTGTGTGGAACCTCTGAGCTTGTCTCCTATCAGGCTGATGTTCAGTATTAGTAATAGCATGCCATGTCCCTTTCCTTGGCTTATGGCAGACTGCAAACTAAAATAAACATACAGGTGGACTGTGCTTACCCTGAATTTTATTTAGTGATATCAGAATGAAGGGGGTTGAATATAAACACTCTTATTTATACAAACGCATCAGAAAGCCATATATCCTCTTCCTTCCACGAAACAGTTTTGAAGAAATGCACAAGAGTTTGTCTTAACATGATGTGAAGAATCTCAAAGGTTACGAACATTTTCTGGAAACACGGTACAGGACTAGTTGTCCCCTCTGATTTACCTCGCATTTGACCCAAATGTTGAAACTCTTCTGTAAATTAGGAAATGCATCATGTTTTCAGCCACTGCCGTTTGGCAATATGATGGTTCACCGAACTGAGCAAAAGAGCACCGGACCCCCAGGCTGAGTTACAGTGGAATTAAAATGTAGAAAAATAACAGCATGGTGTAACATGCAGAGGGACAAAAACAGCTAGACCAAACCATTTTATTAGTGAGAAACCTGGTGGCAGAGACAGCCTTGTGTCACTCTGCCTCCTCACCAATTGGTACTTTTAATATATATATATATATATATATATATATATATATATATATATATATATATATATATAGATATAGATATTTTTTTTTTTTAATTTTGTCTCAACCTCTTTCGATTACATTCATGTAAGCAAACCAGTTTTTCCCCATGCAATTCACCATTGGCATATCAGTTTATTTTTGTTAGCAGTAAAGTATTTTTTATGAATAATTCATAGTTATGACAGAATGCCCACGTTTTCACATAATTATAATTTAATTTCCCAGTTTTATTTTCAGAACATCTCAAATCACTCTGTCCACTGGTTGCGGTTTTAATTCCTCTTCAGGCCATTCGATGCAATGAAATGAGACATTATGATGTCAGATCAAAGAACAACAACTACACGCGTATTTATGCTAGTAGCCGTTATTTGTGTGAAACATCCAGTGGGAGGTTTAAGCTGATGCATGGCTGCTATGAAGAATCCTTTGGGTAATAACCTTTAGTTATACCTAAAAAAATTTGATATCAAATTACGAAAAGTACAAAAAAATGAACGCTCTTGCCAGGGTTAAATGACGAGCCCCTCACAGTCCACAAAGAGCAAAGAAAAGCTAGGCCTCTATGAAAATAAAATCACACATTTTTATTTTCTATTAACAGTTTACTCTAATTGTTTATGTTTTAGAAACTCATTTAGTTGCCATGTGTGATCTTATGTATACAAAACTTAATATTTATTCTAAATATACAGACATTTCGCTACCATTATTATCTCATCTGGAAGTAAAAAAAAAAACTTTCCATAAATGTTTTACGATCCGCCTTGCTCTCTTACCTTGCATTTTTCACGAACGGGCTGAATAAACCCATGGATCACAAGTCATTCATTTATAATTTCAAGTTTGCTAAGAAACAGAATAAAACAACAACTGCATTTCTTTTGTCTTCAGGATATTGATAAAACATCGTCTTCCTTTAGGAACTGATAAGCGTCCGACTGGGGAGCAGCACCCGTCAGATATCTTGATGCCCAAGCAGTCTGTTCAAAGCCTTTCTTCAGTCTCCATAGTAACCGAAAAGGTGGTGGTTGTCTTCGCCACTTCCCTTGTCACTTCATATTTCAACTAAAACGTAAACCACAGCATCAGGACGATCAAAAGCAAAAAAAATATAAAAAATACACAACAGTCTCTTTCTCGCTGATATACACATTTCTTATACGCTTCCTGCTCTAAATAACCTACAGCTGTTTTGTGCTGGTCTGCTCTAAATTTTTTATTTTTTTTTTTTTTCTCTATTTAAATAAATCTGTTGTCCTAAATACACGGGAGTTTATCCTCGTCGCCGTCAATAAATTAAACATAAACTGTTCTCCATAGAGCAGTACGGGACTCTGCAAACGTTCAAGCAGCCATTTTCAGACTCTCTGTATAACAAGTCGCATGACAAACATGCATGGCAGTGTCTGAAATTATCAGCTCTCAAGAATGGAATGGTTTTGCTGGCATTGTGATGGTGCCTAATGTTAAACTCTCTGTCTATCCACATTACACTTACCAGCTTTATGTGAGGAAAGTCATGAGCAGCGTAAACACAACTTTGGCAAAAGGCAGGAATAATGTAACCGATTTCAAACTATACCAAAAAAAAAAAAAAAACCCTCTGACCAAGAAATGTTGCACACTGTCAAACTGGCTAAATAAGTTTTGTAAGAGAGGGTAGGCTTACCTGCTTCTTACAGTGAGAGCTTTGAAAAATTTACAGACAATATGTTGCTGCAGAAGAGGTTTGGACCTTGTGAGGCAACAACATCCATTGCACTGCTGTGAGGCATACAGCTTGGAAATGGCTTACAGAAACAGTGCTGCCAGTGTGAAACCATGATAAGGAATGCTGAAAGAAATATACATTCATTTATCCAGAACACAGACAGCAACAACAGTTTGCTTGGGAAGAAGTCCAGCTTCTGCTGTAGGATGTGAAGTGTGCTTCTTCAACCTGTCCAAATGCAAACCTTTTCTCGAAACGTACTCTGGCACGAGCTGAGAGAAAGATTTTCATTTGGTGCACTATGAAAATGTGTGGAGGAAAAAAAAGAAAAAAAATACATGAGGCAGTCCAGTTAAAAAGATTTATAAAAGCAAGACCAAGCGTAGGAGGTCAGACAGGCAAATGTGATCTTAATACATTACTCCCTCGCTACATTAGCGCAGTGTATGCTTTACACATTCGACCCTGAAACGGGTCATTAGTGTCTAGGACCGCTCCTCTCTGCAAACCCCAGCCTCTCGTCCTGATCCCGTGTTCCCATTTCTGGGTCTTTTTATATGCGCGTTTTTGAATGCGGCCTCTTTATCTGGGCCCGGCGTGCCCACCCAGCCGTGTCCTCACTCCGCATCTCGTCTGGTGTTTCACTAAACATGCTTGATGAGGCAAAGTACACGCCAGGCCCCTCTAATGGCCTGATGTGCCCCCTGAGAAAGATTGCTGCAGACAGGTTGTCTCTGAGGGGGAGCTACTCGTTCAGCCAGCGCTTTCTGACCCTTTACAGACCACCAGCCACACACACACACACACACACACACACACACACACACACACACGCCAGTACCCCATTTGACAAATTGGGGAATGTAATTGAATTAAATCAGAAATGAAACTGGAGCCTGACGCAGGCCGGTTCAAATAAAAGTAGAGCACTTCATGATGTTATCTTACGGACTGCACAATTTGATTACTTTAGTTCAACATTACAAGGCAGCTAAAATATTCAGGTATAACCTCATAGAGGCAAGTCTGTTTATTAAAGCCCTCATCCTCCCTCATCTCTCCATACTTCACGTAATTCCCCATTCCTCTTCCTTCTCTTCTAGCAGCTGCTCTTTGTGTTTTTAAGCCCCTTTTTGACTGGGAACCCATCGTATTATCTCCTCGAAGTAAAAGCCGGGGTTTTCATTGTGTTTTTTTCCACTCTTAAAAGTCTGCAGGTTAATTTAATGAGTCAAAAACAGATTTTTTTTTTCTTTTAGCAAAGCCCCCATCCTCCTTTAATTCATGTCAGATCCTAAATGCTAAGCTTGTTCTTTTACATGTTTATCCAGCTTCTGGTATGAGAAATTGCTTTTCTTTGCCGTCACTGATTAAGTTGGGAGTTTTTTTTTGTTTTTTTTTTCTTGGCGCATCTGCAGTGGGTTTGCATAAGTATTCATACCCTTGGGACAATTTGTCATAATGCACCAACTTCAATGCATTTTATTTAACAGACCGTCAAAGTAGTGCATAATTGCGGCTGGATTGTGAAGGATATGTCCTTTTTGAAAATCTTTACAATTTACATTTTCAACTGTAACTACAGCTGCAGGTTTTTTGACTTGCAACTCTTCTAGTTCTGCGAATCTACAGAAATGTGTTGTTTGCATTTCTTTCTTTCTTCCTTTCTTCCAAAATAGAAAGGGAAGGATCTCCACAGCATGACGCTGCCATCACCAGTGAAACATGGTGGTGTTTTTATTGATATTTGGCGATTATGTGTTTGGGTTTATATGTGCTAGTTTTTCTCCACACAGAGCTGCGGGATACAATTTTTAATTCTGGACTTTTTTTTGCCCCTGTGGCAGTGAAAGATTTTCCACTTTAGCTTTTGGGCCAGATTTGGTCTAAATTATGCTGTTTGTTTACTATTCTGAACACTTCAGCACATCTGTATTTCTCACTTAGATTAAAACTTGTGAAAGCTATTTGAATTAATGTGGGAGCATCGCGTTAAAGGGGACAAAGGGAACTGGTTGCAAATGCACATAGAAACTTTCAGATATTAATTTATTTTTTTTTTAAACCATGTGTCATGTTTTCTTTAGTTCACAGTTATGCACCAATGGATTTGTCTAACACTTAAAATTTCTAGCTTGTGGTTGAAAAATAGCAAAACGTGAAAAATCTCCAACTGGTGTGAATACTTTTGCAAGGCAAAAGAAAAAACTTCTCTGTTTCACATATGCACAAAATTCTCCTTTACACGCTGTTATCATCTTGTGTTTTTGCTCTCGTTGAACACACTGTGCCGCTGTGTGTGTTGGGTTGGGGGGGGGGTATCACCATGTGGCCCTGCAGTGTGAGTCCCCAGCCGATAACTGCCATCTTGTCCCCCGTCTGC